GCATAGAGGAAACACTGTGTGGTGACACCGTGGTTCAAGGGCTGGGGCTCCAAGCAGTGTGTGTAGAAGGTGCTCTGGACCTTCAGCAGAGGAGGTGTGCTTACTGATCATGGATGGGGTCATTGAAGGGTTTGCTTGATTTCCTAACAGCCAGGGGGTTACCTTTTCTCTTCTTATCCCCTGTGGATAGAGGGTACGAGTTTACTGCAGAAGGAAGTGTGGCTGCTCTAAGGAATGCAATTCCTTTGTAAACTTAAAACTTCAATTAGTTTGCTGAATGCTACTGAGCGTGACCTTGTATGGATTCTTAACTGCTTAACTGGCTCTTGCCCAATGGCCAGATCTAGCCAGCCTTGCCCTATTTTTATGACCTTTGCAATATCTCTTTCCTCATTTTTTTTTCCCCTGGGCTCTCTTGGCCTGAATTTCTACTGTGGAAGTTTTTTTCCACAAAACCATGAAACAGATTGTGGCTTCTGTTGGAAGCATTTCAAATCCAGTCGAAAATCATTCTGTCTTCAAGGCTGTACTATCCTGCAAAAACTCTCCCTCCACAGGTTAAAAGTCCAGCCCTGGAAGCTGCCGAAATACATGAGGAGTTGCTGCGTTTCCCTGTCTGAGCCATGTTTCTGTATGTTCTGGGTTTTGCTCTTTTTCAGTTGTGCTCAGAGCAGGTGGCTATCCCTTCAGCGACCACTCTTCCACACACTTCTTAGGGATGGCTGTGTTTCTGCCTTCCCACATGCGGTTCTGCTCTGCTGATTTCTGCTTTCGCACCCAACGTTTCCTTTCTCATGCAGCTGTTTTAGAAGTTTTCATGCATAGCAGCTGGTTGCACCCAGCTTTCGTAGCACTGAAAAGAAGATCACAGGATGTAGTTATCTCAGGCAACTGAGTTTGTCCTGCCTGCCACTGCAAGGCAAAAGGGAAGCACACCTTATGCATATATAAAGCCAAGAATTTATTGCCATGCTTCCAGCAGACCAGCTGCTTGTTACTGCTATCTGCATAAACCTATGGTTGTGCTACGCACAGATAAGCAAAAGTAAAGCAAACTCACCATGGGCACCTGGTCAGCCACAGAAATCGCTGTCAAAGTGGGACCAAGCCAGTGAAGCCCAGGCAGAGCTCCTCCGACCAGCCCCAGTGCTGAGGCCTTGCAAACCTGGTGCAAAGCTTGCGGCCCATGACAGAGAGTATGGCAATGCCACATTGCTGCCATTGGCCATGCTGGGCTGCACAGCTGAGAGATGCCCTGGTGGCACCTGTGGTCTGGGGATGAGAGCTTCTCCAGTGCAGATGGAAGTGTTGGGGAGAGCAGAGAGCTGGGCTGTCCAGGCGATGCTCTGCTTGGGGAAAGGTGCATAGCCTGAATTGCTTCTGTAAAGTTTGGCTGTTTCAGTACAGGCTTTTTCTTTTTTAAAAGCTTAGAGGCAGAAATGACACCGCCTCAGGTTAGTGCAAATTAAATGTTTTCCTATCCCTGAGAGGTGGCTTTGCCCAGCTCTGATTATAAAGAGCTGCCTGTGGTGGGAGGAACTCGCAGCTACTTTTGCTTTTTCCAAGTCCAACCAAGAACTCTGCCTGCTTAAAAACACCACTGGGAATGCAGTAGCATCCAAGCAGCTTCCAGGCTCTCAGTCACTGCGATGACCTGGGGGTGACAGGTGACCCTGAGCTCCTGGGCGCAGACAGTGGAGACCAACCTACATTGGCAAATGCCTTCCAACAGGCAGGAGCTGCTCTCCCCTCACCAGAAATCCCTTCGGGCTGCCTGTGCAGTGTTTGCCAGGAAGAAAGCAGCAGCTGCCTATTTTTAACACTGTCAAAACTTGAATTACTCTGCGTGTGCCCATTTTTTGTAACTAGCATCACTCTGGTACATATTCCTGTTTTTCAGAGGAAACATGCTGCTCCTTCTGCAACTCCCCTCTGAAGCCAACGTGGCCAGCAGGAGCATTGGGGAAGTATGAGCATATATGACGGCTGACTGGTTCCTGACACAGCTCTAGCAAAGGGAACACCAGTGCGTCTGCCTTTCCTTTCATTCCTCTGCTGGGTGAAAAGTTAAATCCTGAAATTTGCTATAGAAGACAAATCCCAAGGTATGTTTTTTTTTCATAAACATAAGGTATTTATGTTGCTGACAAAGTGGAAATGCTTGATTGTAGTTTGTTGTCATAGAATCATAGAATAGTTAGGGATGGAAAGGACCTTAAGATCATCTAGATCCAACCCCTCTGCCATGAGCAGGGACACCACACACTAAACTATGTCACCCAAGGCTCTGTCCAATCTGGCCTTGAACACCTCCAGGGTTGGAGCATTCACAACTTCCTTGGGCAACCTATTCCAGTGCTTCACCACCCTCACTGTGAAGAACTTCTTCCTTATATTTAAGTTATATCAGAGTTTTTCTCTGGGGGGGGTTCAAGTGAAATGTAATCCCTCCTGGCTGTGCTCAGCCGTGGGAATGTTTGTCTCCAGTGCCACCATGCCTGTCATCTTTCCCTGGCTTCGGGTGGCGCTGCATCTCCCATGGTGACCATGGGTTATGTGGCTTCTGGTCTAGAGCTGCTCCAGTGATCATGTGTGGTGCATGTGCTCCCCCAGGCAGCCATGAGCGTGCATGAGATGCTCCTGGAAGCTTGGAGCAGAAACTGGGGAGCAGAGAGTTAATGACAGAGGAGCTTGCAGAGCTCTGCAAACACCCTGCCATGGTGGCCTCTTCCTATTTCTGGAATGAACTAGAATTACTGGGGCTCAGCAATGATTTACCTCACCGACTCTCAAATCCCTGTTGTGCCTCTGAAATCCCAGGTGCTGTTTCTGAAATTTTAGTGAAGCATAGCTGGAACGGAAACTTCCTGCGCTAAAGGTCATACGGAAAATGATTTATAATAGATTCATGCAAATCGTTCTTTGACCACGAGGCACTCATTTGGGAAAATGTGAGTTGTTGAGAATTGATTGTGTAACCAATAGATGGCAGCAGGAAATACCTAAAATTGTTTCAATATCTTCCTGCAACCACAAAGTCAGGCAGGCAGGTTCCTGGGGACATGGGGGCAGGACCTGTCCCTGTTCCCATGGGAGCTGATGTGGCTCCAAGGTTAGCAGGCTACTTGCTTGTCAACCCTGGTGCCATGTTTTCAGCTTTGCGTGACTTCAAATTAGAAGCCAGGCTGGGAATTTGACCCATGCTTAACCCTGGTATAGGATTTGTGATGGCTGCACCAAGGCAGACATGGCCCCTTGTCCCTGCGTGATGATCATATCCCCACTCTGCCCTTGAGGTCATGGTGCAGCAGGGATGCTCCCAACCATGGTAAATCCCAACCATGAACCTCTTTCAGTGGTGTTACCACACTGAGGGAAACCCTGGGGACAGGGCCTGTAAAATGAGAAATCACCTGCCGGGCGCTTTGGATTATGTCACAGATATGGAAATAGCTAAGAAGATGGAATAGATAGGAAGAGAAGGTATTCTCCTTCTTTCCAGCCACCAGTCTGTGCTAGGTACCAAGCCTCTCCTGAAGGTACCTACTGTTGCATGTTGTCAATTCACTTTCAAACCTCATAATCTATTTTCTCGGACAATTTTTTTCCAGCATATGATTGATTTTATAAATCAGTTACACCAAGCTCATTTTCATAACAATGATGAAAAGTTGTAGATTTCAAGCTGCAAACTCACAGATGAACAAAACCAGTGGAAAGGCTTTGAGTTAATTTCTAATCCAGGCCAAAATGTGACAAGAAATTTCAAAGTCCTAAAGCACAAAGATGTCAGAAATGTTGTTTTGTGCCAACACAAAAAGTCATTCGCAGCAGGAGATTACACTCTTATGTAAACCTGGCACAGGGTTGAGACGAGTTCAGCTGCGGTCAGAAAATGCCTGGTGCCACCTGGGCGATCCTCTTCCTTCCCTTTGTGAAATATCCCTGTTATCACTCCCTCTAGCTTTAGGTCTGACTGATAATTACTGATAATTACTCTCATCTCTCTCCCCATTTATATTCCTTTAAAGAAAGTTTCTACTCCTGTGGCCAGAAGATGCTTCTGCAAAAGAGGCATGTGTGGTGGGTGTGGAAGGGAAAGCACACCTGCCTGGGTGCTGGTGGGGCAGCAAGCATCCTGTTGCCTGACTGGCTCAGTCTCAGGGACCTGCCACCTCAGTTCACATCTTGTCACCAAATGTCACATTGGCTTGTGCTTTTGGTTCTCATCTTCTAGTTCTGTCCCTGAGGGCCAAGCCCTTGAAGATGCATTTCACTGAGCAGGTAATTGCAGCTGCTCGGCATCTGTCAGGATGTGGATGTGACTGTAAAACACGTGTGGTGGCAGAGAAGCGTGGTGTTGTGCCATGTGCAGGGCATGTGTCCTTCCAACCAGCCGGTTTGTTCCCCAACAAGTGCAAAATGCTTTCATTGTCTGGCCAGTGGCACAGCAAGGTTTATCAGCACACAAACCCAATGGGGAATGTTAAGCGGGTTAGGTGGCAGCAGCACTATGGAAGGTGGTCACCCTCCAGGGATTAGAGGTCAGAACAATTGTCGTCCCTGTGACCAGGCGGAAACACAAAGGGCCATTGTGCTGAGAGTACAAAATCCCTGTTTATTACCACAGGGCTGACATGCTGAAAGACCCGCTCTCCATGCCAGCACAAAAGCTTCCTTGCTTCTGATTGTTTGTTTATGTAAATTAAAATGGTGTATTTAATTATGCAACAGGACGAGCCTCAGCAACAAGCGAGGTGCTGATTGGATTGCCCCATGGCCAGAGCCCGCTGGCAAGCCCTTGGCACATCTGATGGTGTGACCGTGGATCCTGCTCTGCTGCAGCACCCGCAGGAGAGGAGACACACTTTGACCATTTGTGCAGGGGAACAAAATCCCTGTGGAGAAGGGGTGAAGAGTATTGCTCCCACCCCGGGGCGCAGGAGCGGGGCCCCCGGAGGTGCACGGCCCTGGTCTGCGGACAAGGCACCGACCTAAGCATGACAGAAGAAGTCCCATCAGCATCTGGCATGCCCGAGTGCAACGGGAGTGTACCCCTGGAGAAGGGCCCACTCCAGGTCATTGGTGAAATAGCAAAATCTGTTGGAACGGTCCCTTACGCAAATGCAGAAATGAGCCCTGATGCTCCACCTGCAGAAGAAAATCAGGAGGAAAATAGAAATTCCTTGGCAGAGGATATAGTTCATGGGGATTTTGATGGAGAGAAGCAATGCGAAGGTAAAGTACAAGGCTGCCTTTCTCTAAGTGCTTAGAAAGAAAAGTTCTGGTTTATGTATAGTCTTATGAATAGTGAGATGCACTATATGTGTTATTCAAAATTCTTAACCTATGGTAGTTGTAACAATGACTCAGAGTAATTCAGAGTTAGGGACAAATTTGAGCTAGCAGTTACACAGAATGCAATGAAAAGTATGTAACTAAAGAAGCAAGCAATTTTTTTAATCTGCTCTGAAAAACTGCTGCCAATCTGCAACCATTAAAGCCTAACTATTCTCACTAACTACTCCATCAGTCCATTTCTTGTGCTTTGTATTTCCTAAAGAAAAGCGAGAGGAAAATGATGGGACACTACAGCAGGGATCAGCTGATATCCAGGACATGGAGACCGATGGCCAGGAATCAGAGGAAGGTAATGGAAAACGTTGTGTGACAAGGTGTTCCCAAAGCATAGCAATGAGTAGCCTTCTGAGACAATCACATGTAGGTGGTTATTATTTTTTTTAATTCAGTCAGACTCTTACATTCTGGAGAGCAGTAACTCATTATTCATCCGTTGAGTTGCTGCACTTTAAGAAAACATGTCTGGTATCTCTTTCTTTCTGGGGTTTGTGTGTATCTCCATGACCGTAGGGCATTGAAAGTAAGTGGGATCATCAGCCAGGAGGTCTCCAACAGCCTTGTGAGGCTGGGAGACGCTTTATCTTCTGGTCCATGAAGGGGAGCTCAGAGGATAACCTCAGGAGACTGTCGGTCAGAAATGTGTGGCCTCAAAACCCAAACTCATTCCTGCCTGATTCACCAAATGTCTAAATCCCCCTGACCCAAGAACCTAGCAGCAAATTGCTCTCCTAAACATCTGCTCCTGGGTCCCTCTCTACTCATTCCTAGGTGAAAATGGTGAAAATCTGTTGGAGCCAAGGCTGGATCTCACACCCGCCTCCTGCAGTGAGTGGGGCGGCAGGGGGGCACTTGCTGCCCATCCCCAGCCACAACTTAAAATGATTGCATATATCTACACATAGATGAACCTATTCAATTATACCATCCAAAATGCAGCACTCCTCCAGAAAGGAGGAGTATTTTATTGGGTGTTATTAAAAGAAAGCTACATCTCTAGATGGGCTTTCAGCATTGCTGTCCTTCCATGTTTCCTGTGTCTTGTTGGTTTTAGCAGTGTGGGATGAGGAGTGGCTGGACCAGGGGCTGCTAATGATGTTCTCCCCACCCTGTGACCCAGCCATGGCAGGGGCACACGGCTGGTGGCTCTAACCCACTCCCCGGCACCTGGCCGTGCTGGATCCCTCTTGTCATTTACACATCTACCTGGCTGCAACAGATAGGTGTTTTCTGTATGTCAGCTGCCACATAAATATGAAGCCCCTCCTTGGAGAAGAGCAGATTAACAACTCAGGGTAGCTGTTGCAGTCCTGGCAAAGCTAGAGTGTCATTGAATGTAGTTGTAAAAGATGTATGGACCATGCCCTGTAAACAGAAACTTTGATTAAGAAAAGGAAAAAATATGAACATTTGTCATGGGTACAATAATATTTCATAGCAACTGTGAGGAGGTGAATCATGACGGAGGCTTTCTCACTTAGAGCTGAAATCCATATTCCAGCTGTGTTGCTTTATGAGTCCACAATAAAACCTGTTAAACACAGCACCCCCCTGCACCTCTCCCCCCTAGCCATGAGAACTTTATCTCTAAATTGCAGGCTGCTTTTTAGTACCTAACCAATTTAGTCTAATTAATACTCAGGACCCCACAGGCAAAATGTTGAATAGACCATTTGTTGTGACACTAAAGCACCATTTAACACAGAGACAAATGCCAAACAGGACAAATAGGAAATAGTCATCTCAGCCTGGTGGGCCATCTCTGAAGGAGGGACCATCCCAGGAGGGCTGTGCTGGGGTCCTGATGCATCATGGGCACAGCTGGGCACTGGGTGCAGAGCAGCCCCTTTCTTTTCCTTTTTCCCTTTTCCATTTTCCCTTTTCCTTTTTTCTTTTCCATTTTCCTTGCCATTTCCCTTTCTGTTTCCCTTTCCTACCATGTCAGGCAGACCCAGCACTGAGCACCGCAGGGAGATGGGATCCTTGGTCCCATGGCAGGGTTTGCAGGTAAGGGGCAGCAACTCCTTAACAGGGAGTTTGTCTAATTGAGTCCAGCACTTGCCCAAGGCACTTAGCAGAGAGCTTTGGGAAGGTTGGAAGGGAGTTTAGAAGGGCACTGCAGCAGGGCCTTGCAGTGTGATGGTTGCCAGCTGTGGATCTGAGAGGGCAGGAGCAGATCTGGTGCATGCGGGGAGGCAGAGTGTCTCTGGTCCTGGTGCTCAGTGGGGGATGCTATGCTGCACTTCCCTCTTTGAGTGGGGAGAACTCAGTGGGAAAGGTGGTAGAGAAGGTCATTAAAAAATGCAAAGGCAGGTGGCCTCAAGGAATGAGTTTGAGAATGTACAATGCCTTTCTCAAGCACATGCAAGCATCTGTGGTGATGGGGTTCATGCTGGAGATGTGGGGCACCCCCCACCAGGCAGTCTCTGGAGGATGGGTGCTTTGGTGGCAGGAGCTCGTAAGACACCAAGTATGATGCTATATCAAAAGCATGTAGGACAGGGGCATGAAGGCATGCCAAGTCTGCCCTTACCAACATTCCCTCTGTGTTGCTGCAGGGCCAGGCAGTGATGGACTGCCTGTGGGCAGCAGGGAGCCAGTGATGGGGATGTTAGCCAGCTCCGTCAAGGAGGCAGCAGAGACCCTCGCAGCCAGCACCGATGGGAGGGGAAATGCCACTGAAGAGGAGGAGGACGAGGAGGATGAGGAGAACGAGGAGGAGGAGGACACTGAAGAGGATGAAGTTCAAGTGATTGAAATCAAGAAGGAGAACAGCGAGGCATCCCATCTAAAGCAGTATGACAGTAGCAAGGAGGCATCTCCCCTGACCACCCCCGGCTGCAACTCCCCAGTGGAGAAACCAGAGGAACAGCCCAGCCTGGGGAAAAAAAATGATATCTCCAGACACAGCTATTCTAGGTACAACACAATCTCCTACCGGAGGATTAGAAAAGGAAACACCAAACAGAGAATTGATGAATTTGAATCCATGATGCACTTATAAACTGAGGTGGAGAATTGCTTAACGGGCTGAGTGTTCACTCTGGTTTTGATTTTCTTTTTTGTTTCCCCCAAGACATGTCTCTTCACACAACATGAGGTCACTGCTTTTTTCCTTTTTGTATATGATTTCATAATAGACTGTTAAAATTTAACATTTTTGCTTTGGCAGCGGGCAGAGGTGTCCATAACACAGGAAAATAAATAATCAGTTTGCTAAATATAATACCATTTGATTTTAAGTTTATCCTCTTATTTTCTATCCAACTTTTGTAACCATATTCAAACAACAGGATGTCATGAACTGGCTGGGGTTTCTCTAGCTACCGACACACACGTGATCCATGCTGTCAGCAGTGCTGGTAATGAGTTGGCAGCAGCAGCTCACTGGCACTGGCCAGGGCAGGGTGAATAATAAAAGAGATGACTGTTTGCAGCCCCAGCACACTCTGTTTTGCTGTCCGTCCATGCTGGTGTCTCATGGTGCATTGACAGCCACCTCTTGCTAGCAACCATCTATTCCTACCTTGTGCTGGTGAGATAGAAGGATATTTGCATTCATAGAATCATACAATAGTTAGGATTGGAAAGGACATCAAGATCGTCTAGTTCCAAACCCCCCACCATGAGCAGGGACACCACACA